ACTTGAATGTATTTTGGCATTAAATGTTACCAGGCTGATCTATGATGTTGCTGCCAATGTTTTGATTTTATCTTTATACTATTTCATTTTAAAATTTATGTTCTAATATTTTCCTCCATTTTTCCACCTACATCTTCCATGTCACTGTACTATTGTAGATTCCTCTCCATGTCTATTCCTTTTTTCCCCACCTCCTGTTTTGTGCTTCAAACCTTTAGCTTTTTATCATTTTCTTCCATATGTAAAATACCTTGGTCTCTCTTCTAATCCTCTGAAAAGAGAGGTCTTCTTTTCTGTCTGTACCTAGACAAACTAATTCTTTATACCTTTACTCTTGTGAGATGAATCTCCAGACTCACCAGATGAATAACCACACACTGAGAATAAGGTGGAGAAATGGTATATTTAAGTTTCACATGCTGTTAAGTCAGTTTTGTGAAGATTTTTGAAGTTTCTTCATCCTTTTGTTCAACGTGTGTTTGACTTCTTTCATAGAGACACAGTATTAGATTATTAGATCCCATTAGATGACTGCTTTATATTATACAAGATAGATAGTTTGAAATAATAGCTAACAAAATATTTTTTAAGAGTCAGTTAAATAACTATAAGCTTTCTTTTGCATCATTTGCCATTCAATATGAAATACTTGAATTTTTACTCTGCTCCAAGATCTAACTTAAAAATAACATTAACTCTTGACTAAATATAAATAGTTAATGATTATCTAGGATTCTGTTTTCCTTTCCTCTCTGTTTATGTTGCTCTGTGCTCACATGGTCACTCTTCACTTCTGATCTTACATAACGAAGACATTTATGTTCCCCAGAAGATCATATGGATTTTAAGAAATATTAGTATCTCTTTAATGAAAGCCTCAAACACATTGTTTCTCTTTCACTGCATAGCTCTGAGGAAGAATTTTTTTTTTTTTGGCAAAACTCTTTGCTGTCCTTTCCAGTCAATTTTCTGAGACACATGGAAAATGCTGACAGCACGGCAGCAGCTTTGTGTTTTTCAATAAAATGATAACTACTTTTGTTCTGTTCCAGGAAACAGCAAGAACACTACTCTGAATCTTACTTTTAGGAGTCCTAGGAGCTCTAACCTTCCTTCTGTTTCATATCATGTAGATAACAAGTGTGAAAATGGAATTACAAGCTCACAGAACTCTTTGTGCAGTCTTGATAGTGAACTAAGTATCTTTTCATCTCAACCAAGTTTTATTTTGTAAAGTTGGAAATGAAGTTGCTTTTGGAATTTGCAAAACCACTGCAAATTCATAGAATATCATGTGATGCAAAAAGAGGGGAACACACAAGAATCAACAGAACATCAGTATTTTTTACCTGAACAACAAAATAGTCAGTCAGGATACTTAGAGCACTTTGTCACTTGTACAAAATCTTTTTGCCTCCAGAGTTCTTGCTGTGTTTTATTAATGAATAGTTATAAATCTTTTTAAGAACTTAAAGCTATTAGACCAGAGAAAAGCATTTTATTATTGTTATTGTTCAATTGAAATGCTAATTAAAGGCATCAGAACAAAATAATTTGCTTCAGATTGCTGGTTAAATTTATTTTGTGCATTAATCATTACAGTAAAAATACTTTAAATTAAAATATATTGCTTTGTTGACAAGGTATATTCCATTTACCTGGGTTGAAAATGGCACTGAAAGTTAAGCTTGGTTTGGGGTTTTTGATGGTTACATAAAATAAGCCATGTGCAGATCAAAGGAGTTAGACAAAACCTCCTTAAGCTCTCCTTACTTAGATAAAGGAGTTTTCTGCTCAAACATTTCAAAGCAAGTATCTATCATGAAAATACTGACTCAAGCTACTTTGTAAGTCAAAAGGGAGGGATTTATCTTTTTCAGGCTAAATTTGACATCCTGCCTCTATACTCGATGCAGTTAATTAATACCTAATTTGGACATCTGCTTTGACCCACCAGTATTGGATATGTTTATTTTTCTTTATCGATTACAAAAATTTATCAATTACAAAAGTAAACTTGCATTGACCAATGGCTGATTAGAGCTGGGGCTTTATCCCAACCTAAAAAAAAGGTGTATGAAATGTCTTATGCTTCTTACTGTTCTGCAAATGCTGTTTCACTATAAGGCTTATATGGGGTTTTAAATTGCAGACTAGGGGATTATTGGTGCTTTAATAAAGAAATATACAACTTGTATGTAATTCTGATTTGTACTTTTGAAGATCATTTGCATGTTTGTTATTGTTAGCTAACTTATGTAAAGAAAATGCAATTCTGCAAATAAGAAAAGTGTTATTTCTTTATTGTAGGACTGAGAGGTGTGTTTATGTAGCCTAGATTAAATAGAATGCAATGCCTTCCCTGCATATCACACATCACTGAAGTGAATCTACTTTGCATTATGTTTTTGAAGTGAAATTCAGTTCAGTAACTCTCTGGTCCCAAAATATTTAAGATCAAATTTCAATGGAGATAGAAAAGAAACTAGCAAAAATACAAGGCAAAACCCTCTGATACTTTATGCTGTCTTGAAATTTTTCTGGTTTTCTTCCTTACTTCTATTCAGTTTTGCCTATTTAGAAATCTTCCATGCTAGCATGACTTTTTTTCACATAAAGAAATGATGCTGAACTCCAGTGTGAAATCTTTCTAGTTTTCTGTCAGACAGCATTTGCAAACTCACAGAAGACCCTGGATCAAGTGTTTTCAGGACTATCTTGATTCTGCCTTTGCATGAGTGAAAACCAAAAAGTGTGTTTTATTGACTCTTTTATGTCAGTACTTTTTTATGGGTACTTAGGCACATGTTGGGCTAAGAAAGACAACAAGGACAGAAATATTCTGCAGTATAGTTTTCTATTAGGTTTTTTAAAAATGTGGCATCAGCTTAGAATATGTTTAGATGCCAGTGTTTACACTGACTACTGACACATCATGAATTATTTACAGTGACTACTGACATATCATGAACTACAAATTTTATGAAGTTACATGTTTTTCACTGAGAATATTACTTTGCTTGAAATTTAATCCATGTGTTGTCCTTAATTCCATTCATGGTTGATGTAACACTAGCCAGTTCAAGCCAGTTTAGTGAAAGGTTGCTATTTTTCAATGTCATCTTAGCACAAGTCTGTTCTATTTGATTTGAGCGTGTATAACAAAAAATAACAGAATATATTGACAAGAGTGCACAAGTCAAGTTCATGTTCTTAACTCCATGTTCAGCACAAGCTGGAGGTGGAAACAAGATAAAGTTAACAGGAAAAATATAGCTCCCAGTGGAGCCACAGCTGAGTGTTTTCTGTTCATTTATGTAAACTCAGCTTAGACCACACAGAAGACTGTGGCTTGTATTGGTTTATCCTGAATATATTGTCAACACCATTGCCTGCATCTGACACTGTGACAGACAAAAGGTTTTCTAGGTTTTCTGAGTACAGTCTGTGGTCTAAACTCAATCTGTGGGAACTGCATTATGAAAGTTCCTTTTTAGAGGTTTATATTAAAAAAAAAAATTGAAAAGTTTAGTTATTTAACAGCAAAATATATACCTTTTTCTTAGAATAAATATTTACAAGCATTTTGCATTTTGCAAGCATTAGCCTAAATGAATAAATGGTAGTCTCATTTTAGGCAATCCAATTTGTCTTTCAGTCCAAAATAGTGGATGAGTCTACCCTTGTTCTTTCCACAGTTACTCAGTTCATATTGGTCACAAATGTGAAAAAATAAATAAGATGACTTGATTTTCATCAAATTTCTGAAATAACAGTTTTCCAAAACTTTTATGTCGTACCTCCTTTATTTCCCTTTCTGTAAATGAAGTAGGGAAGAAAAAAATACATCTGTATGTATTTCATCCTATCTGTCACTGCTACATTCTTGATGATCTATTAAAATCTGACTGACACTGACCATCTATGCTAATTGTGTTGAAATAAATATAGTTAAATGTCACATGCATGCAGACTTATGCCACGAATTGATAATAGCATAATAGGTAATTAAATGAGTATAAAATCTAGACCACATGTAGAGAGCATTCAAAAATCTACAAAATTGTTATATCTGAATCTTGATATTTGGTATATCTGCTAATACATTATTTCACCACTACCTAAATAATCTAATTCTAAATGATCTGGAGTTATAAAGTCAACAGAGAGAGTTGAAAAAAAAACCCAAAAAAAGTCTTTTTGGTAAATGTTTATATCTGAGACAGTTTTTACAGCACAAATTTTTAGATAAGCAATAGAAGGAAAAAGATGGGCTGCTTTTAATAATTGTAGGTTATGGCTTATGATTGTTAAAGTATTACTCTGATATCAGCAGTGGCTCTTTTTGTATCACCTTCTGGTGGTTTTGGTTTTTGGGTTTTTTTTGTTTTGCTTTGTTTTTTTTTTTAATTTGGATTTTTACTGTGCTTTGAAATGAATTCATGCAATGTGTGCACTTGTTAGGCTTTGGTTAACATCAGTGACTGGTCTTGGCATGCAAAAGTTGCTTTCCTTTCATGGGGTGCAAAAGTTGCTTTCCTTTCAGATGAAACTGAATTGAGAAATGCACTGCAGGAGTGAACTGTATGTACTTCAACATGTAGTTGAAGATCTGCAGATCAATCTGCAGATGGGACCAGTTTAGGACTAGTCAAGGCCTTAACCTCTGAAACGTATGTGTTGTACCATAATTTTCCAAATCCAAAGTTCTGGGGTTTTTTAAAGCATTACAGTACTTGCTAGGATGGTGTGAACTGAACAATTGATTTTTTTTTTTTTTTTTTTTTTTTTTTTTTTTTTTTCTTGACACAGGCTCTCTTCTTTTCTTCCAGGCTTTGTCTTTTTTCTGTGGAGCATAGGTTTCATGGTACTTTAAGTTGAGGAACTCAGAACTTCATTAAAACAACAAAAATCAATGTTGAAACAACTTACTGAAGTATGAATATAGTTGTTTTGGCAGAAGACATTAAATCTAGCAAAACTTGATTTCGTTTTTCCAGGAAAGAACAGTAACAATAAGAAGACAGACTGTAGGAGGATTTGGATTAAGTATAAAGGTAAGATGATATTTTTGGTCTATTTATTGCATATTACACAAGGCATGTCTTTGTATATAATCAGTGTTACTGTTAATGTGTCCAAACTATTTTAGAGAACTAGAAACAAGACAGGAAACAAATTTTTGTGTGTTAGATACTGTTACAGCAGGCAACTAGAGCTATGCTACGCTATGGAATGGAAGGCAATCATTCCCTTAAAATTCAAGCTGACCAACTCTGTAATAAGGTTTGATGTAAGAGTTGCAAAGTGTTTTCAACTCTATAGACTGTACTTGTTCATCTTCTCTCTAATTTAAATAGTTATTAATGAATGCTAAATTACAGTGGCAGGCACAAGGAACAGCCAATAAGTTCATCATCAATTCTGCTACAGAGAATATCACATTAATCCATTGCAATTCATTAGTGGGACAGAAATTGTTATTGGATGCTTGTATTGTTTATTTTTCCATAGATCAAGCCCAGACAGCAGTTTATCATGTTACTGTGGTTTTTTGCTTTTGTCAGTAAGATTTAAGAACATATACAAGTGTAGATGATCCTATTTAGGAGAGGGAGGAAGGGTTAATAATTTTTGTCATTGTAATGTATGATTTTGAAAACTTTACCTTAGCTTTGAGTCTGAGTGTAGACAACACAAGATTAATTTTATCTTCTACACACAGCAGTTCTCAGTCTCAAGATAGCAATGGAAAAAATGAAGCATACTTCACATGAATGCAAAGAGGCCTAAATTATGCACATAAAGTGCAAGTATAGATTTTCCTATGACATCTGCTGGTACTGACCTTATAAGTAACTCAAAAGAAGGATAAATGTGCATTTGTGTTGTCATTGATAAGAATATGACTGAATAGAAGTATTAATTTTTAAAAATGTACTCGTGCACTTGCTGTTATCTTGTTGACCCATGAAGACCTCTGTTCAAGGGAAACTAATTGCTATTTTGTCACCAAAGTTTCTCTTCAGTTTGGTCAACAGCATTTAATTTTTTTTTCCCCTCTGGTATCATTATAGGTTACAGTACACTGAATAATAATGAAGTAATGAATGTCAGTGTAAAATGAAGTGTATGTGTAAAGGTGGTTTTATTTAAATGCTGCTAAGAAGAAACTGGTTGCTAAGTAAGGACTTTAGATGATTGGAGAGCAAATCTCAAGAGTCAATATACTTGATTTTTACATATAATTTACAATGAGCTATATAGAATCAGTATCACTGACAATCTCAAGATCACATAATTTAAGTATTATGTACATTGCATAAAATAAAGCATCACTTAGAAATATAAAATAAATAGAGAATGTGCAATGGTCTTTCTTAAATTAATAGTTAAGTTATTAACTTTTTAGAGTAAGACATTTATTTTCTGTGATTATATATATCATAGATATTTTGATCAAAATTAATCAAAGTATTGGAAAGGTGAAGATACATAAAGTCAGGTGTGAATAGAAAATTTTTCGTTTTTTAAAATAACTAGCAATCAGGTGGTGAAATCCCTTCAAAAGAGCAAAGAGTTCTCTTTAAAAAAGGAAACTCAAACTTGTTTGGATGGCACAGATTAGATAATGAAAATGAAAAGTTGAATTCTGTGGTCCAGGATGTTCTGTCCATGTGTTTCAGCTAGTATGATTTATTACTTTAAAATTACTTATTTTTTTAAAAATCAAATTGTCCAGTCATTTTGTTTGTTGGACCTTTTTTGCTAGGTCCCTTTATTTGTAGTTCTACATTCTCACAAAGATGGACAAGCGGTTGGATAGCTAACACAATCTAAAAAAAAATATTATAAATTCAATTATTATAATTTTAAACTAGTGTAAAAAACTACTTAGAACAGGAACTTACAGCAATTTTTCTTTTTTAGTTTAGTAGGCAAAGTTTATGAAGACTCACTGAAATGGACTTTTTATTTATGGCATGAAATGACATGTCAGTTCCAAATATTCTGAAAAGTGCCAGTTTTCTCTTTAAAATTCAAATATGGTTTGCTTCTTGCAGATTAATACAAGTTTGCTGCTATGTTTTTGGTTTTTTTTGTAAGTTTCCTGAACTTATATTAAAAGATTAATTTTAAGTAGAAATGTAATTATTTTGAATTTGTGCCAGAAGGTAGAGGTTTACAAGTCCCTCTGAAGGAGTGAGAAGCACTCAGGCCTCTCCTCCTTATGTGAATAACTTCCATAGCCCCTTGAACTACAGTAGTTTCTGTTGTCTTACTACTCCCAGACTAATTAAAGACAGGGGTTATTTGAGGACTTGCTTTCTGGCTGTGATGTATGTCAGAGGATGCTGTTTATCTGAGGTGTTAATTACATCAATACAGTGATTAATGACACTCACTTTGGAATACTTGCTTGGGCTTGGTTATGAATTTGCCTAGTTTCAGCTGTCAGGTCTGGGGCATTATCTTGTCTTTTTTTTTTTTTTCCCTACTAACTTAAAACATCCATTTACTGTCAGAAAACTCACATGAAAAAGTCACCTTTCAACTTTCTTTTGAATAAATGTTGAAAATGTCTTATCCCACTGCAAGTATTTTAAACCCTTGGAATTATTCTTTTTCTGAAGAGCAGGGAACAAATTCCTAATAATGCCAAAATTATTTTTTTTACCTGTCTATGAGGGAAACTCTTCCAACTTGGATATTCCAAATGTATTTGTAAAAATCAGAGATTTAGCTAACTGCTTAAGAAAAACCCTGTTTATAAGGTTGATTTTGTCCAAGACCTAAACTTCAGCCCTTTCAGAAATAGATTATAATCCACCCTTTAGGGCTTGAAAACCTGGTGTGTGGCTGTATCTCTTAGCTGAAGTTAGTGGTGAAACTGTGCTTTAACTTGAAGCAGACCTGCTCTGGTTTACACTCTCCTGAAAGAATAATTTTCTTTTTTCTGAAGCATCCTGTCAAATGTTTGTTTGTGGAGGAATAGCCATAGATATAGAATTTGGAAAATGTAGTATTTCAGTAATTTATCAAATCTCTGACAAGTTTGAGATGCAGAATCTTGACAAAAGAGGCTTCTCGGTGTGTGATTTCTGAAAGAACATTCTGTTGTTCAATAATTGGAGTGTAGTGTTCCTGAAGAAATAGGCAACAAAATTGAGGGTTTATTAAACAAATTGAGGTTTTTGGTTGCAGTCTGACTTCTGTCTACCAGGGCTCAGTACACTGCCATTATTCTGCCTCTGTTTTGATCATTCTTTTAAAATGGTGAACAGCATAACAGATCCTCTGAGATTCAGTTTGACTTTCTAATTTAATTTAAATGAAAAATTCAGTGTCCATAGATCTTAAAGCTATTTTTGCTAGTGGAAATGCTTCCTTTTACTATGAAGTCATAGTTCCCAACATTGTCTAACTCTGATGATGGTAAAGTCCAACAATTGGTCTGATCTTTTATAAACTCTTTTTTTTCTTTAGAAAATAAAAAACTGATTTCCTTGTTATACTTAGAACCAAATGCCTCCAGCCTTTGTCAATAAAGTTACTGCTTTCAATTGCCCTATTTTTCATATGTCAAAAACTTCTGAAAAAAACTCTTGCCCATAAAAACTGGGATAAGAAAAAACCTTTAGGAGTGTATCAGGTGACACTTTGAAAGGGGGTGTGGGTGACCTCTCACCAGTAGTGGCCAACATTCAGGACAGTGACCTTCAAACAGCTGCCAGTGATTAGAGCTTCCTCTGCCCCTTCTAGCAGGACCACCTCTGCAGGTGGGAATCTGCTGTCATTCCAGATTTATCCCTGCTTGAGGAAAAGTGACAAAGAAAATTTGCTTGACAAAGATCATTGTTAGAGTCTGGCAGAGGTCTGAGCCATTAAGTCTTCAGCAGCACTATTTGATGTATTTCTGTCCATCCCCTGGTCTGAGGTTATAATTACATGTCTGTACTGGAGGAAGAGAAAATTTAAAGCAGTGAAAAAGTTGCCTCTTTTCCCAGAGGTTTCTTCAGAAGAGTATCCCCTGAGACTGTAAAACCAGATTTTAGACATGCATACACTTCTTTGTCTACAGGACAGAGAATCAAGTATGGAGAATGCAAAATGCAAGGCTGCAATGGCAACCCGAAGTAGTATTCAACAAGGTGTTGGCAGAATACCCACAGTTTGCTGCAAATTGCTAATAGTGACTGGGTATAGGTAGTTGGCCAACTATTTACTGTTTCCAGTTTTGATTTTTTGTTTCTTAGAACAGCAGGTACTAAGTCCTTTTACTGATTTAAAAAGAAGCCTTCATACAGGTCAGACTCGGATGCAATGAGAAGAGATAATTCACTTCAGTAGGAAAGTACTGAAAGCTTCCTCAGATCTTTAGTGTAAATGGGTTTAAGTGGATTCAATACAATGAGAGAGGAATAATCATGTTGTGTGCATTGCAGGCTGGCTTAGTAATAAACGTAATTTCCTACTTTAAGGGAGCATTAGATCTAAGGAGGCAGGGAGGCCGTTTTAAACCTCACACTTCTTTGCTGGGCTTTAAGTATCCTGGATATTGCAACATGTGTGTAACATTGGAGGCTTAGGAAGAAAGTGACACAGTTATTTTTTCTGTTTGTTTGAAAAGTTTTGAAGAAATTAAATTTGCATGTGACTAGAAACTTTGGAGGGTATAGGTTAAAACTTATGAATTTAGTGAGCTTGAACTCATTATCTGCAGTGAATCCAGCTTTTACTGTTGCTGTTCCTCTGGTGAAAACTATTGAAAGATATTCAGCAAGATATAGTAGCAATGTGTTCCATGCTTGTCAACACATATCTCATGCAATGCAAGAAGAACTTTACCTGTAGACATATAATTGTTGTAATATTGCTGAGATCCCCATTAACTCAGTGGTTTTAGGGCCATTTGCATTGATAGACACTAGCAAAAGGAATATTTATCCTATTTAGCATTCTGTGGCTACACAGGAAATTAATCTTTATTCCATGACAGAAAGAGGTGTTGAGTGCAGGAGTCTGTTCAGTTTCAAACACTTTGATACTGCATGAAGAAGGGATGTGTGCTGTTCCTTAGGGATTGAAATACACGTGTCAGTCCTTTTCCCAACTTGACACAGGGTGCCTGGACCTATAAAAGCCATCATTTCCGAAGTAAAATCTGTCTGCAGAAAAGAAGAGTAAGAAAACACTTAACCAGTATTCCTAGTCAAAACAACAGTGTGGCAGACATTGGTTTCTGGTGACCTGAATTGGTTCAGCTTGCATTTGAGTGTATGCTTTGATGCCCTTGGCAGAGAAAAAAGTATTTGTGTCTCTCTGTATTTTTGCCTTTACCTTCCTTTGAATTTCCTTTTCATTTAAGGTTTATTTTTATTACTTTTTTCTTAAGCACCATAAATATTTCCAGTCCCAACAGGATAAATTGAATGAAGCAACAGCATTGAATTGTTGTCGAACTGTTGAAACTATCATCTGGTTTTCCTTTATTTCTCCCCATTATTGAACACCTACTGTTCCATTTCTTAATGCTTCTTTTTCTGTTCCATATTACTTATGCCACTGCTTTCTTCACTCTTTGTGCTTGTGTGACAGACAGAAACAAATAAAGGCTGCTTTTGACATGAAAAGTCTAAACCTTCTTTCTTGTGCTTTTGTTTACCTCCTTCTTGCCAGCATGAAAACTAAGTGGTCACAGTGTGATTGCCATTATAGCTGGATGTCCATTCTGCTTTTACAGGACACATTTCATACATTAGGCTCTCCAGAATTCACAGAAACTGATGTCCTTCATGTCTGGTAGAGTTCTGAATTCACTTCCCGAGCTAATGATGGCAACTTATTTATGTGAGACAATAAGGACTTAATCACAGTCAAATATTCATTAGAAAAAGAAGAATTGCAGAATCAGAGTTATTTGCTCAGTCTCTCTAAAAACTGTATATAGAGAAAGGGTAAAATATAACTTTAGGTGATAAAGATATTTTTAGTGACTCACAAAGATTGCTCTTTATTTTGTTTTCAGGGTGGAGCAGAACATAATATTCCAGTGGTCATTTCTAAGATTTCCAAAGAACAAAGAGGTGGGTATCGGGTATCAGCTTATTACACTGTACTTTAATGTTCTCTTTAGAAAAAGATGCATTAAATCTTGAAATTCTTTAGTCAATATTATAACAAATACTGTTGTTGAACCCTTTCTCTCCCATGTCTTTATGATCTCTCTCTTCCTCAGAAAATTTTTCTGAAAAAGTAGAGAATTGATATTTGGAATACTTTTTAAGTCTTCAATCTTTATTTTTATTTTTTAGAAAATAGAAATAGTAAAGTAATAGGAAAGTATTAGAAAAGAAATAGAAAGTATGGGAAAGAAATAGGAAAGTATCAATAGAATGAAAATGCTTAATAAATTTTATAAAAAGCAATGATTTAGTGGCTTTGACTTCCCAGTAATTATTGTCTGGAAGTTGTAACAGATTAAATGTTTGGCTCTTAAATCATTGTAACACAGCAGGAGAATGCATGACTTTTTAACCTGGTTACTCGGGTTGTATTTAGACTACTTTGAGTACTGCATAAAGTTTTGGCCATCCTTATTTTTATTAGGAACAGAACTGGTGCTGAATTTCTGTATTGATTTAACTGGCAACATTTTGAAATTATTGGAATGATACATGGATAATAGTTAAACAGCTCAAGATGTTCACAAGTATGAAGGAGGGAGGTCATGAACCAGTACTAATAATGTGTACTTAATATCTTTGTTACATTTGTATGTAACTGTATAAGGCCGGAAATGCAAACTTGGAAACATTCCCCTCCATCTGTAATGCAATAATTCTAGAACTCAGCTTCTCCTCAACTAAAATGTGTCAGTATTAAAAAAAAAAAGTTTCTTACTCACCCACTCAGATAGAGAGGTATGGAAGAATCAGCATATTGAGAGCCAAAATCCAACCCTGAGAGATAGATGTAAAAGTTGGAGTTAGGGAGAATAAGGAGTAGCATGGAGTGAATCCCTAAGGAAGGCAATAAGGTTAACCTTAAGAGTTTATACTTGTGACTACAGTCTTTTCAGTATACATGTAACTAATACATAAAGATGTGGCATGTATTACATGCAGTACCTATTAAAATGCTATTAAGCACTGCAGGAAAAATAAGAAAGATATACTTCAGTTTAATTGAGCACACTGAAGTGCAATTTTATTTCTGTCATAAGTTTTTTTGCTGCAGTAGCTGTTGCATTGTTTCTAGCCCCAATACCTAGCTGTGATATAATTTTCATTACTGCTTTCAATAAAAATATTGCTGATTTTTGCAGAGCTAGTTTTGAGGGATATCTCTTTTGTAGGAGACTGCTGTCTTGTGATGTAGAAAGTGTCATGCTGTGTTCCTGGACTAGAGAACTTTGATAGAGAAAATGCTGTTTGACCCGAAGCCTATGCCTCAAAATAAATGAAAATATCTGTCCTGCAAAATTTTAACCATCTGTTTTTAAATACAGCTAATAGGATCATTCCACCAAACAAGGACTTGAGTATCATAATTTACATCAATATTGATTCCGGTTTTGCAGCTCATATAAATATGTAAAGTTTTTGGATCAAGTCCAATACTAGATTTTTTCAGACAGTCTCTCTATGTTGATATGGAGTGCTATAGGTAATAATTACATGTAATCTGTTAGTATCCTGTAGTTCTCATGTTCATGTTCTCAAAGGTTATTAATGTCTTTACAGACAAATAATCTTTGTTATATTTCTGATATGCTTATAAGGTGTATTTGAACGAAATAGCTCTGAAATGGAGCACAGTGTTTAAAAATTGGAAGTGTAGAATTAGATTTTATAAATTTCGTTGTGATGCAACTTTTTTCTTAAAATCACATTCAGTTTGGCTGGTGATTGTTTTACAATATATTTACTTTGTAGCTCTTCAGCATATGTAAGTGTTATCCAGCATTAATAGTCCCTATTATTTATCAGAATTTATCAAAGATGCAAAATCTAAAGGGTCCTTTATCTTTGGAAAAAATCTAAAAATTCAATTTGTTATTCATGAGTATCCCTGAAGTCTCCATGTTGCTTTTTTCTCTTTGTAAGAAATTATCTCTCACAGGCAAATAAGACCGAGTCCTGCAGTCATTTTCTATTCAGAAAAATATGGCCCACCTTACCAGAATGGCCTGAAAGGTGCTAGTGACTGATGGATGAAGTTTCATAGTTGTGTGCTTGAGCTGAATAGCCTCTTTTATTGTAACACTGATAGACAAATATTTGGAATTTTAAAAATAAAATACGAGTAATTTTATTGGAAGTTTTATGTTGGACTTTTTATCATGTTTTTGTTTGAAAATTTAAAAAATTATGCAGAAGACTTAAATTAAATAAAATTTTTGTACAAAAAATGTTGGATGTTTTGTACTAAGTGAGTGAAAAATATGCTTTCTGTTTTCAGCGGAACTTTCAGGTTTGCTCTTTATAGGAGATGCAATTCTGCAGGTGAGTAAAACTGCAAATTATTTTGTCTGTATTTTTCTAGAAAAGTGAAATGAAATCTATGCTTATGAAATGTAGAGTAAGTCTTCTCTTTATCTTTTTAATAACAGATTAATGGAATTAATGTGAGAAAATGCAGGCATGAAGAAGTGGTGAGCTTTTCTGTTTTTTAGTCTACTTTTTTTGTCTTTTGTAGTTGCTGAAATGATAGTGTATGCTGATAGCAATGCAGTGGCGTCAGCTGTTTTATTGTTATTCCTAAACAAATATGCCTGTACCTTCTAACATGACAAGCAACAAAGTGCAATCTCTTCTTCCTAAATCTGTGTAATTGCTCTTCTCAGATAGACTTTTCTATATTAAAGGTGATTGTTTTATTATGAAGATTTGAGCTGTACAAATTCCAGCATTTCTTCTTCCAGCTAATAGCTGTCAAATTTCAGCAGTGCTACACCTTTTTGGCTGTGTGGGGTCATTTTAATTTCAACAGCTGTAATTTGCACTATGTTGGAGATTTGTTGTTTGGTTACTTTTAATCCTATTTAAAAAATGAGAGAAAACTATTCATCTGCCACTCATCCTCTGGCTGTTCCTTATGAGGATGCTCTTCTCCTTTAGTTAAGATGCTATCATTTTGGGTATAAAACAAAATTTTATTTAGGAGATTTCTTCTAGAGAAGAAATTTTGAGAGATGTGTAGCAGTCTGGTTCCACTGGTGAATCAGCTTTGCTAAATGCATCCTGTATTTTAACCATATTTTCTTTTTTGTTGACTCTTCTTAAATACTTTCAGAAGCAGAAAACCTTTTATTTCAGAAAACAATGCCAAAAGTTAAAAGATTACCAAATAAGTTACCTTTAAATCCTGTTTAGCTCCATAGCATTTGTACCTGTGTTTTTAAAATAACATAGTACTGACATATTTGAATGCTTCTCTTTCTGACTCTTTGCCAATTCAAGGATGCTCTTTGTGTTTCATCCAGCATTCTGCTCTGTGGCAGATCAGTGAACATGTGCTGTTCAGGTATAGAAAGCAGGAGTTTAATATAGATGAAGTTCTGATGAAGAAGTATATTGGAGGCTGAAAGATTAGATCACTGCATTACTCTTCAGTGTTTTTGCACACTTGTTTCCTTTTGGAAATCTACTGAAAATTCTGCCTCATTCCTCAGAGCCTTCATCATACCCCCTTCTGTATAAACTGGCTAATAGTTGTATTTATATTGCTTTTAAGTTTTGTCTGTGCAACAATGATCAGGTTGTAAATATTTTATACGTTTACTGCAATGAATTTGTTTAATATGCATTAATATGGCAAATATTTCAGTGGGATTTCAATGTTGGAATTACAAAACATGAGAAAGATGTTACTAAAAGAGTAGCCTTGTACACTTGAATGCAGATTGAAAATTAGTTAGGACATGGGGCTTTTATTTTCTGTTTTCTGAGACATTCTTTAAACCCTCAAAATGATACATGAATCTGCTGGGTATTTATGATAAGGTTGAAACCCATTCATGGGAAGAAAAGAGGTTTTGGAAAATTTGAAAGGGCAGATTGACATGGAGGAGCAAGTGTTGTGTTAAATTTTGATTTATACCTTATTTATCTAACATAATCTGCTTTTTAAACTCCTTGTAGATAATTCTCTATGAATTAAAAAAATAGTATCTTACCAGTTTTGGATGTGTATTTATGTATTTGCCAATGGTTTAAGAATTCAAGAAGCAAATGGGTTCTAAATGAAATCCTTTTTTTAATTAAGAATAATTTTTTATATTTCATAGCAAATATTGAAAAATATTTAAATAGGATCAAATTTCCATATGACATTTTATAAAAATATGCATAAGATTTATGATATGTAATATAAATAAAAAAGCCAAAGTAAATGAACTCTGATAATCCGTTCTTTTTCAGAAACATTCACTGTTATACACTACGAGTTTATGAAGTAAATTTGTTGTAAAGCTGCAATTGTGGTAATAGATGTGGTTCTGCATTGTGTGGTAACCTGTGAGTTAAGGCTTAGCCCTCAGTAAAGAGTAAATACATGACCTGGTGTGCCAGCAGGAGTCACAGGTAGGGTTTTGTCTGCAGCACGTCCTTTGCAGCTTGACTTGCTCTTGGACTTCCATCCTGTGCGGTCTTTATCAAATACAGGATCTGTAGCTCTAATCTCAAGGTAGTATAAAGTAAATAGAAGTATGTGGAGCCTAGTTGCTTGCAGCAGGGAGTTGAACAGGAGTTGAAACTTAATTTTCAATCCATATTGCATCAAGGCACTTTCGCAGTGGCTCTGCACGACACCTGAACTTGTAGCTTTGTTTTGTTCTGAATTTTTCTTTACCTAATTAAGGCTTAGCAGGCACAATGTTCTGTAGGATGTCTTAGTGTTTGGGTTGTCTTAATGTCTTAGAAAATTTCCATTGTAAACCAGTGGGTAATGTTTTTCAGTGGATAATGCTGAAGATACCTGTAAAGAATTCAGATTTTTATCTACAGTGTTACACTGATGAGCATTCATACTATTCCTACATGCAAAATGTGTTGCTGCTTATGGAAACTTCTTAAACATATGTCATATCTTCATAGCTCTGCAGTGAAAAAAATCTGTGGCGTAATCACTGCAGCCTATTGTATGAAACTGATGCTTAGTCAACCCTGGAATTTAATCTTGCTTTACTGATAACCATACTATGTATATAAAATGATTTGAGCTTCAAAATTAGGTAGTTTAATCAAACTCATGGCATCTTTAATAGCAGGGAGAATCTTTCCCCAAAGTACAGTGATCTTGGGCACTCATTGTGGGCACTCTGTTGTCTTTATTGTCTTTCATTAATTTTGACACAGGTAGGTAGGTAGGTAGATAGATAGACAGGTGGACTAATAGACTCTCACAAGCGTAGATAGGTAGGTTTAGTCAGTTCTTAGTATACCTTACTGGATTTCTTTACATGGTTCCTTTCTTTTTTTTTTTTTTTTTAGCTTTAGGTAACTCACTTAATCTTGGGTTTAGTTTTTATAGAAGGTGAAAATATTGTTCATACCATGAAAGCACATGATGAGTTTCTATCAAAGACTGTCTGTAAGCTTGTTGGTTCTCTTGGGTTGTGAAGAGCCCCAAGTGAATACCAGATAACATGGATTCAGTATTAGTGCTCTCATGTGGTAAGGTAAAGACATGGTCTCTCAGGTGTAGTGTCAATACAGGAGGAGGCTGCAGAAAAAAATAAACTAATGCAATGTATCATAAAAAAATATCTCTTAGCACCTCTCAAACCAGCAGTTTCAGCCCAAAAATGCAATATGAACTTTTATGTAGGAGAAGAGTCCATTATATCTGTTTAAATACGTAACTTAGTGCTCTTTTTACTCAGGATGTTTTAATTATTTCTTTAGTAGACTCTCCTTTAAAATATTCAACAAGAATTTTAAAAGACTGAAATTAGGATTATTCACAGACAAATCTATGAGTTTTGGCTTCTGTCTAATTAATAAGGTTTAACAAAACAAGCACAGCTTGTCAGTCCACAGACCTAGTGGATGTGGTTATCCACCGCAATTGATATGATTATTTTTAAGGCTGGAAATTAATGTATTTCTAGCTTTTACCTCCATTTATTATCCAAACATAAAGTTGGATAGACACGCACCAACATGTTATGGTTCTTTGGATGTTTTTGGTGGTTCTGGGTCTATCCACTACATCAATAAAAATGGACAAGATTCTGGGAGAGAGTGGGAGTGGCCCTTGAGACACTTGTAAATGGCTATGAGTAGGAGAGTATGTCAGTTCAGTTGGATACTACCAAAAACCTTGTGTTGGATCTGCTGCTCAGGGTTGTAGTGCACCAAATCATCTAGAGCCAAGGTAGAATTGCAGTTGAATGAAGGCTGATATGTCTAATTTTGTCTCTGTTCTTAATGTTGTGAATGAAACATCTCAGATAGTATCAATAACTATTGTTACATATCTCTTTGCATCTTAGCATCTGTTTTTTTCTCTTAGGAAATAGAAGAAATTAAATGACTATGGGTATGAAGTAATTTCTTATTTCTTCTATTTGGGGAACATTCAGGGAATGTTTCTAATGAAAAATGACAGCTCACATGTGTCAGTTAATGTGGCATTTGGGTTTTCCTTGAAAAGTAACAGGAAAAGCTCATGTAGTTGCTGATAGCTATAAAGACAGAATAGATATTCAGGCTTTGGTGGATTTTATGTAAAGGTAACTACAATATGTAGCACTGTGGTTCATTTCAAGCACTGCTTGCATTTTGCACAAGACACCATTTTTTTCCAGAAGAATGACCTGATGTGAGATGTCCTTGTGCACTGTGTTGAACCTTTTGCTTCCCCCTTTTCTCAACATTCACAGCAGAGCTGTGACTGTGCTCACTCTCCATGAGTCATTTAAGTTATGTGAAAATGGCAGTGTAGGGATTGTTGCTGCTTAAGTGCAATCATTGCAGCTAATAAAACTCTTACTCTGGACTTTCTCTTTAAAACTATGGTCTCATTAAAACTCATGTTTAAAACTCATTATGAATAGCTTTGGCAATGTTTCTTGTAAATATTTTTAAGCAGAAGAATAAGCGTATTGTATTTTTAAGATGGGAAACCAAATGATCTGAAATCTCCCTCCATCTTGACCTTACAGATGTGTCTTTTGGTAAATTATGTTATTATCTTGTTTCCTTAACTATGAAACAGAGACCTAGACTAGTATAGGATTTAGCTCTCTGAATTTTATTAAGTACTTCGGAATCTGTTATAGAAAAGTACCTCTGCATTAATATTTTGCAGTTTCATGAAGTGATAATAGCAACCTGCAAACATAGATTACCACTTCTCATGTTCTCCTGTACTTTATAACTCATGGCACAGCCATTTAATCCTTTCCCCTCCAGACAGAATAGCGACTCTATATGTGGAAGCTGCACAGCCAGTGCTTCTAAGACTATAATCAATCTGCAGCTTTTAACTTCTGAATTTAAAAGTGAAATTTAAACTTTCTGGAAATCCAATAATCTTTCCATACAGCTGCTGTTTTCTATCTAAGACTTGAGTAATAACAATAAGAACAACAACAATAATAATAATAGTAAACTGATGTCACCTTAGCTATCCCAACATAATTAATGA